CATCATAGCAACGGAGTGCAGTGGCGTGCATGCGTTGCACGCATAATTGCGTCGAAAGACAAAGGAGTACCGCTCGTGCAAAGAAAGATCGTAAAAAGTAAAAAAGAGAAAGAACAGAAGCGGTGAATGTTCTAAAGAAAAAAGAAAATTAGAAAGAATTATTATTATTGCACAAGATTTTCCTTGAAAATGTTGTCATTATATATTTAAATACGATATGATATATATCAATATATATCTGATTTGATTAAATTTTTAACATGATTAGAAAAATTTTGCAAAAATCTTTTTTATGAACATATTTCCATAAATTTCTCTTTGTTTTGGCAATCTTGATTAATTTTTATATATTTCTTGCTTTCTTTCTATGAAAATAGATTAATTTTTATATATAAACTTTTATAAATATCTTGTCTTCTCTTTGATCAATTCTCTGATATGTTTGTAAAAATTACAAGGTATTGCAAATCCTACCACTGTGACTCTCACTTTCTGACCGGTGAAAACTGCAAGCATGCCGCTACTTACATCAAGATCTGCATCTTACGTAAGCACGACACAGGATCGGGTTCGGTCGCGTCGTTTGTTACATCGTCTTGTGCATACACGTCGATCCGATCGCCGAAAATAATGCGTTCAGGTCTTTTTTATCCGTAATACCAAAAGCTACTCTTACCGGTGAATAACAAACGCGAGAGTAAAATCTTACAAAAATACCTGACCATCCTGCGTATATAACTTGAATACCCGAGTTAAAATTATTTATGCTTTCTTTGACACTTTACTTATTTTTTTTTATTAATTTATTTACATATGCAATGTAAATACATTTTTATTATATAGAACATGATAAAATTAAGATTTAAAGTAATTGATATATGAAAAAAATATATAATAATGTCAAAATTTATATATTTCCTTGAAATAATTTTTTATTCCCAATTGGCGCATTTCTTTTTATATTATAATTTTTTGTAAGAAACACAGTTTTTTTTTAGCAATAAAAAAACAATTAACATTTTCTGAAAAATTTATATAATAATAATAAATATAATATTAATAACACTATGACTTTAAGTTTTAATTACATCTCGATGCAAATGCTGCAACTAGGTTCGAAGCATTTCTCATTGTATTGCCGGTTCTTTTGTAGTCTGGTATCGAGAAGTGTGGCTATTAGCAGCATGACATGTCTCTCGTTACAAAATCTCTCGCAAATATCCTGGGGTCTCTTGCGTGTGACACATAATTATCGCTAAGGAATATTTTCTTTAAACCTGAGCGAGCATACAATGACATGCTCTGCAACACACCTATCTGTCTGACTTTTGTAACATGTGTCAACATGTATTGCTGGTATCGTTCCATTGATCTCGCGTACCCCTGATAATAATGTGATTACGGAGCAAGAAAAAATTGATTATAATAAAAATTATAATAAAGACAAATCTTGTAACGACTTTTGTATTAAGTTGTTGCAAAAAATTAATTAATTTAACGTAATAATAATGAGTGATTTTTTATGAGAATGTAACGTCGAGAGAGAGAGAGAGAGCTAATTGTTTAATAAAATAAGAATGATGTAATCGATTGAGATTGGGAACCAGCCTCTCTGACCAGACAGAGGAAAGTAATGCTCGGAGGTGTGTCACCAAGGAAGTTCGTAACCGCTCTATGATATTGACTTTTCTGACTTCATGCACGAGTGATTTTATACATATAAGAAAGCTGGATTGATACAATTTATCTCCGATATATTTTCGATACAAAAGTGCTTATAATGGGATAACCTCTCAAAATTACATTTAGTTAATTAATAGATTTCAGAATATCAGGTATCAAGCCCTATTCGAGTACTCAACTATCTTATTCGATTTATGTAAGACACTTCACTTTTGATTAAATTTTTTAATTATACTTTCTACCTACTATATAATTATATATATTATAGCAGATATCGATATATATATAAATTATTAGTAGAAATCATTGAAATTTCTCTTTTACATTTTTTATGATTTCTTAAGATTATATCGCACTTTATGTAATTGCAATCCAACTCAGAAAAATAACAATATAAATAATAACGAAGGTTATCGAACCGATAGTCATACTAACGTCTACCGATATTTCGCTCACGATCAAATCATTAATACAAGGATTGACGAAATCGCAAATATGTCTGCCTGATTAATAACGTCTAAAACACGCAAAATCATTACTACCAATTTAAGAAAATGCACTTTAATGATTGCACAGATTTAAATTACTTTAGAAATTATTATTTTACTACATTGATTGTATCTTTCTATAAAAACATTTATTTATTTTTACCTATTTGTAAACCGGTGCTATTTTTTTTTAATAAAAAACAATTAATTGAACAAAATAATAATGTTTATTAATTGCAATAAAACTATTTTATATTATTTTATAGGTATCATCGTCTATAAGCAATTCAGTTAACTAACTGCGATAAGCATTAACTAACATCGATCTTAAACCAAGCACCAGATAATGCGATCAATCAAAATGCACGGTATTAGATTAGCGAATTGAGCTGCATTCTGAAATCAAAGGCACATAAATGAGACAAGAGAGCGATTATGTGTGACTCCTACATTCCGTTACAAATTGCGCTCATGCAGAAATCTCGTGTTAAGTAATCACAGGGGACAGTAAAATTGATCCCTTCCCGAATAGCGTGTTAAATATCTCTATTATTATTGCGTTATCGATCAACACAATACATGTGAATTACCAGCTAAGATCTTGTTTCACGAGAGCAGAGATTGATAGGATACAATTATTCGGAAAACTGTCTTGGTCGGATAATTTGCATAAATTATATCGAGGATAATAAATTTTGCAATGTGTTAAAATGCAGATTAAATCAAAGGTTTATTATCAATTTCAAGCATTGCATCTAAAGTCATCTAAATTTTGTGAAATTAAACTATATGTATTATAGTGAAAAATGCAATTAATAAAAGTTTTCGTGGGAAAGCTTCAGAAATAATTAAAAAATAGTTTAAAATCAGTAAATTAAAAAACAAAAAAATAACCAATTAGAAATATTGAGTATTAAAAAGCCATGTTAAATAATATAAAAAGTCGTTAACATTCTGAGGATTTAAACCGTCGCTCGTAAATTAGAATGACTTTTGACGATGTTTGGAGAGAGTGCTCGTATCGAAAGACAAATGAACATTAAATCAGGAAACGTCTGTTTGGGCGTAGAAAACCGGTAGAGAGCCCATTTTGCGTGCCAATGTGACAGATCCAATTGTCTAACGTCTACGTCGGAATGTTATCTCCGGATTGGTATTTATTGCGGTCATAATTTAAACAGTTCCTTATTGCTCTCCGAGAGTAATGCAAAGCTTTTTCTTACTGTAGAAATTATCGCAACTGTAACGATTGTGTATATATATATTTATATTTTATTTCTTTTTTTATAAAATACATTTGCATAAATAATGAAAAATTCTCGTTTTTCTCGGCAATCGAAACGGAAATACCGTGTAACTGTATCATGACATTTACGCCAGATATAAGAGTAAATGAATAATTATTTTCTCAAGAATAATAAAACCGCTGTAAATCACGATTGGCAAGCAGGGATATGATCGCTGTAGATCAATTAGCAGACTGATAAAAGTAATTTTTACAGACTTAAACCAACATATCTCGACATAACATAGTCTCTCGCGCAGATGACGATGATAACGCCAACGGAATTGCTACCTTATAGACAACCTGTACCTTGTGTAGTAAATGCGTGACGTAATGATAGTGCACGGCAATAGAAGACACTGTAGTGCATGATTTATATTAGCGCGGCGAAGCCGACTATGCTTTACCTAGTAATGAAGCATTGGGCAATCTTACGCAAACCGATACAGCCGCCGGACATAGGCGAGAATAATTCGCTTGTTATAATTAGTATTCGCCGTGCGTGCGTTAAATAGAAATTCATTCTTTCTTATCTATAGATAATATCTCATCGTATATTAGGTGATGTAAAAAAGATATTTTAAAAAATAGTTTAAACATTAGAACTATAGCTAGTCTAATACATATTTCGTAATTCGATTATTGCAAAAAAAGAAATATTTTATTTACGTGTACATACCTTCTCTATCGTTTATATATCGTTGCCGTTATTATTAATATATAATTGTTACCGACAATAATAATTATATACTCAATTGCAATATTTTAGAGCGGAAAAAATAGAGTACAATTAAAATTTAATCAAAATAAAACTATTCAAAATTAATTAAAAAGCATAACTTATTAGTTTTATCTATTTAATTATTTAATTATTTATTTTTTTAAATGTGTGTGCTTAATTCGCCATAAGCATTTTATCTTTGATTTTAAATTAAATTACATTAAATTACTTAGTCTCTTTAATTAAATTGAATTAAATTTTAAAACTTGCCTCCATATTTTTATTAAGAAAAAAATCAATCTTCCAAAGAATTGCAAAGAATATCTAACAGTTTTGGCATACCTTATATATTCAAAAACATCACAACACAATTTTATAAACGGCAATCTAAGCAATTTGATCAATTTTTATTTCATATTTCTTTAATTTTATAAGAGACCGATAAAACAGACGTATGTGATGTCATAGTCGAAACGGGTAGATCTCTCGGCAAATGGAAAAATGATCTCGTTAAGACTGCTGCATCGAATCGCACTCACATACGCATGCATATATCTGCATAAAGTCGCTAAGCGTGCGCTCCATTTACTTACTGGCAAGTCGCGCACGTTTAGCATGTTATACAACCATTGCACATTATGTGTTATAATATATAGATATGTGTGTGTGTGTGTGTGTGTGTGTGTGTGTGTGTGTGTGCCAGCGTGATATATCGTAAGTAAATAGCTATAGTTAGATTCTAGGTAGGTGTGGCGATAGGCCAACCGTTGGCTTCCTTTGCTATTGGCGGGGTGGAGGGTGTGCGAAATGAAAGTCCATTCCCTATATAAAGGGTGGTTTTCCAGTACAACGACAGAAAACGATCTATTTTATTCACGCGCGAGTATCATTCACGCCAAAGTATCAACATGAAGGCTCTGGTACGTGCACATCTTCGATCGAAGTTGAAAATAGTCTTGTGACGCGAGAGAATCCGATGACACCGCCGAGATCCATTCGATGATTTTGTCGAGAGACGTATCTCTTTTCCGAATGTAATATTTAACGAAATTGTTTGGCTCGAAGTTTAGAGATCGTCGCATCGATCTAATTTTCCTATGTTTCCCGTGTTTTTTCTCATGGTGTTTCTTCGTCAAAACTTAACATTTGTGAATCCGATGCAAAGATCCTTCGACTTCTAAAAACGATCAATGTTTTCAATAATAAATAATAATCATCGATTTGAACAATCGTTTATTAATATTGATTTATAGACTTTGATCGATTCTATTCGAAAATTGATTAAGATAAATTATTATCTTAAATATATCACGCATTACAGTTTGCAATTTTGTCCTTGTGCTTTTTATTTAATATATCGAATAACTTCCCAGTTTGTTTATTAATTTTAATTGTTTCTTTAGATTTTCGCGATGAAAATTAGATTAGACAAAAGTTTTAATGATAATTATCTTTATCTTGGAAGATACATTTGTTCATAAATTTTGACTCAAATTTTTTATTGACATATTGTTTTTGTCTTTAAACAATTAATATTCGCGTTCAATATTATCGCTTTTTAAAGAATTTTTGATCGATCCATTCACAATTTTGATTTTCTTTATTCTTAATCAATATATCTTTCTTGGTGTTGCGCAGATCTGCCTGATGCTGATCTCCGCAGCATTCGCCGGTGAAGAAAAGACAATAAGCAAGCGTGGCCTGACTCTGGGTGGATGGGAATATGGTAGTGGCCTGTCTCTTGGTGGATATGAGGGATATGGCAAAAGCTACACCATCGTCAAGGAGAAGGCTGTTCCTGTCGCGGTTCCGCATCCAGTTCCCGTTTTAGTTGACCGTCCTGTCCATGTTAAGGTAAGAAATAATTACTTTAACTTTTCGCGACAATAATCACAGTTGTGTGTGTGTTTAATTTTAAACATTAAATTAAACATTTTAACGAAGAGTTAGAGAAATCAAACGAGTGTTATGTAATTAATTAAAAAAAATATACATTCGTGTCTGAACCTTTGTTATTTCTTTCAGGTTCCAGTCGCCATTCCAGCGCCCTACCCAGTTGTTAAAACGCAAACAATCACAATTCCCGTAGAGAAGCCAGTTCCATACCCCGTTCCTGTCAAGGTGCCCTATCCAGTTATTCAAACGAAAACTATCACGGTTCCCGTAGAGAAGCCATATCCAGTCACGGTTCCTGTCAAGGTGCCAGTGCCAGTGCCCGCCCCATACCCCGTTAAGGTAAGTTGAAATAAATTCTACTTTAAGAATAATCTATTTATTTGTAAATAATTTATATTTCTATATATAATCGTTGTTGGAAGATAAAATAATTGGAGACCAAAAATTTGACGAAAGATAAAAGCCAAATTTACTCGGATTTGATATTAATTACTCGGATTCGATATTAGTAGACTCAATATTAGAATTTATAATGTGATTCCTACAAAGAAATATTGTCTTTCGAGTTTTAACGTAATTTTTGATAATCTAGTTTATTATATTAATGTATCGTGTTCCATTATAATCCTTCAGCTTACGAATGCAACAAGTAGAAATCGATCTCGAGACAGTAATTACAACAGCTTTGTTGCGAGCTCTCGGTTCCTAATTTAACTAATTGACTGACTATGTTCATTGATTGGTATCCGGGTTTGGTATGCTGTGATAAGGATCATAGATTTCGTCGTTTATACAGGTGTTACACCTGTACGATTAATAAACACACTTAAGAGAGATATGTAATCGGTCGCAGGATAAATGTATTATTTTAGAATCGCCGTTTTAATTAAATTACAAAAAAAAAATTATGTTTTAAACCGCGTTGCATAACAATAATAATCATCGATGCAATTAACGATCGTAAACCTATTAATCGTAATTATTCTATTATTATGTAAGAAGACTAACTCGCTCTCCGTTTGTAAGCTATATGTGAATAATAAGTATATAATTATGGAAAGTGTTATATACATTACTCATATTATTTTTGTATTTTTTATATTATTTATATTAATTATATTGAAAAACTTCTAATATCATATTTTTCTATTTAATTTTATAAATTTAATATTTTAAATGTTTCGAAAAGATACAATGAATATAAATAATAATTTCATTAAATTCTAGAAAAATATAATTACTAAATTAGGATATAATTATTTTGCATTTCTTAATTATCAATTAATCCCTCGTTATTTTGTTTTTCAGGTTGCAGTATCCCACCCAGTCCCAGTTCAAGTCCCACACCCAGTTCCAGTTCCGGTCCCGCAGCCGGTCCTCGTCAAAGAAACGGTTCCCATTTATGTTAAGGGCCACTATTAGATGAAGTTTTTCTCCAAAAAAAGTCACATACACGCCACCCGGCTCCATTTCGCGATCTCTTCTTCCCAGCAGCGCAAAATCCATCACGACGAGCGTCCAAATACAAAAGACGTTTCTTCTGTCGTGTAGTACCTTGAATTCACGGAATAAATTTTGTAAATGTTTTCATAAAAATACTCGACTTTTTTGTTTTTCCCTGTTCCCTTTATTCATTTTTCATTTCAAAAGTGCAAATACTGAAATATAAAACTTATATTTTATATATCTGAAATATAAAATTTAATATATAATCAATATTTAAGACTATAGAATTTAAAGAAAAATTTTTTAATAGAAAAATTAGTAGAAAATATAGAAAATTTTTAAATTTTGTTATTAAATTAATAGAGATATTATTATCTTATCTTTTTTTTTATTAGATTCATGAATAACATTTTATTAATTTTCTATTTTGTTATAGAGATATTAAATAATACATATTATTCTATAGCAATTTTCTATTTATATTTAATTTTGCATATATACAATATTATTATATATATCTAAGATTAAGCGTTTAATTTTTTTTTAGAAATCTAGACTTATATTATTTTTCTAGGACAGTCTATTGCGTTTCTTGCATAACGCAATAGTTTGTGGAAACCGTGGATACACGAAATTAATTAGAGCCAAGGCAAACCTCGGATTGCGCAAATTGCAGAATAGATTTAATTCAGAAGATTATCTGGTATCCGTAATTTTCATTATATAAATATGTGTAATATATACAAATTTTTATTATATATATATATGGCGTTCGCAGACGAGAGCGACGTCGCCCAAGCCGCTGAAGTTGGCACCGGTTGCCGTGCGACGCACTACCGTTCCCGGAATCACTCAAAGGCGCGATTATCGGTTTTACATCGCGCAATTATTTGAGAGACAAGAGCACGTTATATATAAATATATTATATATATATATATATATATATATATATATATATATATAGCTTGACAGAAAACTATGTTATTCATAAAAATACCATTGATCTTCGTTTTGCAATTTTATCGAACAAAATTTCAGTAATCGATACAAACTTAAATCGGTGAATTGACCTCAACTATAAAATTATGAAGATTTTATTACAAATTCTTTTTTTGAAAAAGCTCATACTTATATTTGTTTTGCCAGTATGCTTGGAGTTGTTCGGAGATAACAAGCCAAAAATTATTTTTTATATCTTTTCTTTTTATCAATTTATCGATTATAGTGTGTGTATGTGAAACTATTGTCCGCTGTATTCACGCACAATATAAGATCAAATATCTATACGTGTTCTTATCGCACTTGGAAAATGTCAAAACGTTTGTTACATTTACACGGGATTAATCCGGCATGCTAGATGCTTTTGTGTAATTAGGATTTAATTATCCGATCTCTGCTCCGATCTGATATTATCTCAGATCGCTTTTGCTACTGACTTGTCATTTCGCAACAAGACTTCGCTTTTCGTTTTGGACTCCCCCTAAATATATAGCCGCCTTTCACGTTCTCTCGATCTATCTATACGTGAGAAACGTGAGAAACAACATCCTTAGGCGCCATGAAATAAGGAAGAGGCATATTACGACAGCGCTTGTTTGTAAAATTGCTACATAAAATTTTGGCAATATGTGCTCCTTTATTTGATGTAAGCGGTTTACCTTGATTAGAAATCGAATGGAATGTGAATGGCAAATTTAGGAAATTAATCAATGTTTCAAAAAATTTTTTATTTCGAGTTGATAAATGATCAGTTTCAAATATATCAGCCTTAGATATTGCAATCAGAAAAAAGAAATAAATCAAGTCTTACTCTTCCTTTGAAAGTATTTTCATAAATTTTTTATTTATTCAAAACAATTTTATCTTTTAATTTTAATTTGATTTTAATTTCTTTGTAACTTTTTTTTAATTTTTAATCTAATTCTATCTTTAAATATATATATATATTAAATAAAATTTATGTAAAATTATAGTCATAAAATTTTCAAGTATAAAACGAAGAAAGATCAAGTAGCAAAAAAACAACATTTTTGCATTCATATATAACAATTATTATCTGTCATCTGTCACTAATAGATTTTACTGATTTATTTCATTACTAAAAGCGCGAATGTAATTTTAGCCGAAGTTGATTGAGCAAACATCTCGTTCCAATGAGAAGAAAGTTTTAGTCACATCTTTTCGAACACTACATTGTATTACATAATACAGAAATTGAAATTGTGCTGAAATTTTGAAAGCTATCGGATTTTCAAGGATTTTAATTCATAAACATTTTATAATTTACACTAAATTTTCTAATTTTACACAAGATATGTATATTAAGTTCCTCGAATATATTCTGTTATGAAAAATCCTTTGATTTTGCTGATAAATTTGCATTAATTTCAAAAAGCAAGAATATGGTATTAGTTTTATCGTAATGCATAATTAAAATAATCTAGTGTCCAATTATTTTCCAAGGGTTCGATGATTCTTAATATTTCTTCGCAGAAAAATATCAGAAATCAAACAAGATGTAAATGCGCAATTGAGAATAATTGCAAAGGAATGCGAATGAAAATGTTCGTGAATGTAAATACAATTAAAACAAAATTCCTCGCGTTACACACATATTTCTGTAAATTACTAATAATATCATATCGTCTTTATTTTCTAAAATAACTCATAAAATTATATGTATATATATAAAATTTTAAATTATTTATTAGTTATTTTAATATATAATTTAATTTTTCTATAATTTAATTAGCTATAATTTAATAACTTGCAAAAATGTGCGTGTTAAAGAAATATATATTACATAATGTAA